GTGGCATAGACAGATTCCACCAACGAAATTAGCCCCTGGTGGTATAGGAGAATCATGGGTTACGATCACAATACGACATACTCCTCACATGCACTTAAACATATAGGATCGCCGATGGATGAACTGCAAAATTATTTTATGGTACAATTGGCAATAAGATCTGTCGAGTTTACAACAAAATTTTTATAACTAGTAAGTTATGAATATAAGTATCAGTATCATCTAACAATTTGGAATGTTCAAAAATCTCTGCTGACTGTTGCCAGCCTTAACCCTCTTAAGGTTTGTGCCCTCTAGCGAATCCAGGTAAAGAATACAATTTGACAAAAATCTCCAATGTAGTAGCAGACAGTAGATGAAAAAAAGAAAATTATTGAGTTTGGTGGTGAACGTTAGTTTGATAGTAAAACTACAAATCAAATCAATTATATTAGTTTTAAAATTTTATAATTCAAATTAACTTAATTTTATATTGGATTAGTTTGATTTTTTATTGGATTAAATCAATTTCAATCATATTAATTGAATTGGATCAAATATGAACACTCTAATTGACTCTTTTTATTTTCTTAAACCATAATATTATATATAGCAACTAATTGGCAAGGGCATCCTTGGCACAAAGTCAATCCCTTTAAATCCCCTCTACTGATAGCCCTTGATAAAAGAGCTGATAATCCTTCAGCACATAAGAGAAAAAGGAACGGGGAAAGGGGATCTCCTTGCCTTATACCCCTACTTGGAGTGAATTTCTTTGTTGGACACCCATTGATCAAGACGGAGTATTCCACAGTGCGAACACATGTCATGACATGGTTAATCCACCACTCAGGAAAACCCATTGCTCGCATAGTGTCCTCTAAGAAATTCCATTCTACTCTATCGAAAGCCTTGCTAAGGTCAAGTTTAACAGCCATATGCCCTCTCCGGCCAACCTTTTTATTTTTCAGATGATGGATGGCTTCAAAGGCTACCATGATGTTGTCATAGATTAATCTCCCAGGAACAAAAGCACTCTGATTATTTGATATAATATGCGGTAGGATCGATTTAAGCCTATTGGTTAAGACTTTGGATATAATTTTGTACAGCACATTGCAAAGACTTATGGGCCGAAAATCCTTCATAGAAGAGGGACTTTTAACTTTCGGGATCAAAACAATATGAGTAAGGTTCACATCTCTCACCATAATCCCATTATTAAGGAAGTCCAGCGCAGCCGATATGATATCCCCTCCTATAATATGCCAGTAATTTTTATAAAAATTGGCATTCATCCCATCAGGTCCTGGGGCCTTTGAAGAATGGATTTGTTTCAAGGCAACAAGAACTTCATAACTAGTAAAGTCTCTATCAAGGTTATTTACCATCATAGGCGATACTCTCCCTTGTAATGCGCTTAGGATGCTGGAATTTGGACCAGTGTATTTGGAAGTGAATAAATCTCTGAAAGACTTAATGCAGAGTCCTTCTATCCCTGTTTTATCTGTTACAAGAGAGCCCCTGTCATCCAGAAGTCCAGCAATGTGATTCTTTTTGTGCCTGGCCGAAGCTCTGTTATGGAAAAAAGCAGTATTTTTGTCCCCCTCTTTTAACCATTGTACCCTTGAGCGCTGCTTCCATAAGACCTCTTCTCGTCACTGCCAATCATTGAGTTCCTGTTCTAATGCTTCCATCCTCCCTAAACTGTTGTCTTGTGCTGAACCATTTCGAACTCTCAAGAGTTCATTTTGCAACAATTTAATTCTTTCCGGTATATTGCCGAATTTGTGTTGGCTCCAGTCCATAAGGAGGGAACCACATGATGCAATTTTTGACAACACTCGGGACATGTTTGTGTCTCCTTCTACAGCCTTCCAGCCATCCTTAATTTTTGACATCACATTTGTTTTTTGCTGATGACAGTTTGTTGTTTGGAGAAGCGTCTGTCCATGAAGCTACAAAGCTGTTGGAAATCTTGAAGGAATATGAGGGGGTTTCCGGTCAGCAAATTAATCTTGACAAGTCCTCTATTTTTTTCAGCAGTAATACTTCCAATGCTATGCAGCAGGGGGTGATGCAAACTTTGAATATATCCAAAGTCATTGCAGATGATAAGTATCTTGGACTCCCCTTAATTATAGGGCGAAAGAAAGCTATCTGTTTCGATTCTATCCGAGAGAGAGTTTGGTCAAAAATCAAAGGTTGGAAAACAAAGTTGCTATCTCGTGCCGGTCGAGAAATTTTAATTAAAGCAGTTGTACAAGCTATTCCTACATACTGCATGGGTTGTTTTAAGCTTCCGCAAAATTTTCTTCTGTCCTTAAATAGCATCATTAGCAACTTTTGGTGGGGAGATAACACTGATAGAAGACGAATCCATTGGTTA